GAAAGACTTGAATTTTGGCATGCAACTTGAAGCACTAGTTGGATTGGGTACCAAGAATGAATCTGGGAGAAAGTGGGGATAAAGTTCAGTTATGGTATTTGCAGGCTGAGTGCAATAAGTGTTAGTATTTGCTTATTGCTTATTGTTATTTATCTCATATTTGATACTATCAGCAGTTTTGTCAGCTGACTTTATGCATAGATTTGTTCTTATCCAGCACGTTTTCCATATTTAATATTTGTAAAATTGGTTAATGGTAGCACAAAAGAAGTTCTTGGAGGAGTCTTCTGTGGTTGTGAAATCAATAGCCTCTAATGCAGTTAAAATTAATTTAATCGAGAAAAAGTGTTGCTAAAGTGCTAGCTTTCTCTTGCAAGTAAAGAGAGCCAAAGACATCATACGTTTTGACTGGAATAAAGCATGCTGAGGACTGTTCACAAATGGGTTTTTCCACAATAAAGTGGCTTCTTCCTTCCTTTCTTTCTTCCCATCTCTCTCAATATCTCTCCAACACCATCTTATTCCTATGTGAGGAACATAGGAACATTCACTGAACACAGTGTTCCTATGTGAGGAACACTGAACATTCACTACTCTCACTGATTTTACTTTGGAGAGTCAGTAATTACTCATAACCTTTCAGAATAAGACCGGCTTAGCCCTTGTCAGGAGCCTTAACCAGTGACTTCCCTTGCAGAGCCTTTGATCGGGGCATAGAAACCAGACAAATGTTAATTATACCCAACCACTAGAGGATGGGCAAACATCAGGAAAAAAATCTATCTTCCTCAGAAAGGTCACTTCTGAAGAGGTGGTTGTATTGCAGTTAATGGGCATTAGAAAAGATATGAGCCTTTCATTTGATTTCAAGCAGGTTGCTGTCAGAAAAGAGATGAGCTGCCATTAGCGCTAATGGAGACTGAGTGATCTGATTGCCTCTTCTTGCATCTGGGAGTTGAGTCCAGAGTCATAATGTCGCAAATGGAGATGTCCCTAGCATAGTTAGCTGACACTCTATGAATATTGATACAAGTGCAGATCTAGCTCTGAACAGACTCTGCTTTCTAGCAGAATTCTTCTTCTGTGCTTTTGGAAGACAGCTCAAAATTCTCTTTGAGAATGTCAGTAGGGATGATTGGCTCTGTCTCTCCCTCTTCTGTAGATCCATTGTCAAATACTTTGCAGCTTAAGAGCAAAGCAATTTTGTGCTACCTACAGACATATGTACTGTCATCTCTGTAAATTACTAGGAATTAAACTTTTGTCATGTCCTTCTAGGAAGCGTAAATTGTTTTGATGATGGTCCAGAAGGTATCTAAAAAGATCCAAAAAAGCATTTTGTTTCCCAGAAGTTTCTACCATTCAGGACCCATTTCAGTGTCACCTCTAAATTGCCTTTCTGTACATTGATCCATTCTTTTTTCTATGCTGTGATCACTTCTGTTGACCTGACTAACTATTCCAGCCACCTTAGAAAAATGTCTGGGAGGCTGTGTGCTTAGCAGTGGGGCTTAAAGAAGAAAAGCATGCCTGTGTAGTTCTATATACCCACTGGTTAGAACTAAAAGGGATCTCAGCATGGTTTAATTGCAGTGTATTTGTGAAGTGAAAATGCAGAAATTCTAGCTATTAACTTTGCAATATTTACATCATAGTGTCTGAGACTATTGAAGTGTAGATTGCTCTCTACATAGCTCCAGTTTACCTACTGCACTACCTGTTCACACCATGAAAATTCTTAGCTTATAAAAGAGAAACTACTGAGAAAGACAGGTGAGGTGGCTTGTCTCAGATGTGCAATGTCCTGGTCTTAAACCAACCAAGTTGCCTAGTAGGGCTTCTCAGTCCTTCCACAAAGGCATTTTTAGCTGTGTAGGTACACATTTCATCTCTCCTTACCGTTCTCAAAAGCACACCAGAGCAGTTTGGAGCTGGTGGATTAGAGGAGAATGAATCTTGAATAGTTAAACATTGTGTTTTTGTGGTCAAACACAGTGGTACTTTGCAAGGACTACAGATCTGCTGCCACGGCCTAATAGTACTGTGCATGCCTTTGAGGGACTTTGCTTAAAGGGGTGTCTCCTTCTCAAGCTCATGATGATACTTATGTGTATGGAAGGGTTTGAAAGCTATTATTGCATTTATTGCATTCTAGCTGTTGATGTCCCATTAATCTTCCTATCTCTCAATAGGCAAACAAGCTGTGAGCTGAGATGCTCTGAACTAGAGCTACATATTCCCCATGCCAGACTAATGAGGAAACTTCTTAAGATAAAACAATCTTTCTGCTAATGGGAACCCTCACCTTTGTTCTGTCCAGCCCTATTCCTCCTCCTTTTTTTTTTTTTTTTTTTTTTTTTAAATGTGAAAGCTTTTCACAGCAGCCTGCTTTCTCTGAGGGTCAGGCATGTAGGCTGGATACATAGGTTGTTTCTTTTCTAGATCACACACACATGTCCAAACCAAAACAGTGTTGACAGCTGATTGCAGTTTAAAGGCAGGAGTCAGATGAGTTGACTGGTCTCAGTTCCTAGAAGGCAAGCAGTCGCGCTAGAAAGGGGATCACTCATTTCACTCATTCTGTCTTCATGCCTGTTAGTCACACTGCCTGGCCCCCGATCTTAGTTTTGCAGGACCAGATCACTGACTTGTCCTAATGAGATAGGTAAATTCTGCTGTTTTGCAGCTGAGGGGAGAGAGCAGGGGAAAGAGATGTAATTTACCTTCTCCTATCAGTTACTTGCTCTGGATCACATGGGAAGTGTATGTTGAAGCAAAAAACTGAATCTGAAATACTGAAGTTGTAGGCTGACAGCGCAGTGCCAGCACCGTTGCTAGGAGTTTGTGTAGACATGCCACAAATGAGAAGAGTTGCCTCATCACCTATTATGGGTTTGATTCTGTAGCCATGAGGAAGGCTGCAGAATCAGGTCAGGAACAGCCTGCGCTGCTGTGTGTAGATGAGCGCAGTCTCCCATCTGTCAGTGCTGCAGCACTCAGCTCACTCCTACAAAGGGAAAGGAGGTGGGGTCAGATCTTACCAGGCACGGGAGCTCAAGAGCCCGGCCTTCAGCAAGGCGCACGCTCACGATGGCTGGCGGTGAAGGTCACAGTGACCTCACAGCCCTTTCCTCCCCTCCCTCCTCTCCCCAGCCCGGAGCACCCTCGCCAGTGTCCATGTCCACGTGTGCAGTGAGCACATGGCTAGTGCCAGCCCCCAGCGTCAGCGGGCCTGCCCACCCAGGGCTGTGCTGCGCTTGTGCAGCTGGCCTGCCAGAGGAGGTAGTGAGGAGCTGCCTTGCCTCCCGTGGGTGGGTGGGCACTGCTGAGCCAGTGCGGCTTGTGTCACCTCCTTGCTGACGTTAGCGTCTGCTGCTCACGGTGATTTTCTTGTCCGCTTTTCGCACAGAGGCGAGAGTGTCTCTTGCGGCCAATCACTTCAATTCGGAAACAGCAGGAAGTATCCAGAAAGCAGAATGTTTGGCATTTGTTTTGCTGTGGATCTAGGCCTGAATCATGACATGCAATTGCGCTAAAAATTAGACAGCGGTGTTTATTTGCCTGAAAAACAGATTATTAAAAATCTGATTTGAATTTTCAAACTTTAAAGAGAGGTTCGTTTTTTTCATTTTGAATTTAGCTTCAATCTATTTCAACAAAAATTACATGCATGGGGCGTTCATCCCACAGATGAACCACCTGCTGATGATCCTTGCCTGTCCCAACCGATTATAGAAGAAGCCTAGATGGGACCCTAGACTGGACTGGGACATCAGTTGGCAGCTACGGCTGGATGAGATGAATCCCAGCCTAACTTTCAGTCAGGAGCACAGGGTTGATCATGATTAAAAGAAAAACAGAAGAAATACTGCCGCCTTGGCAGTAAAAATACAGAGTTAACACACCCACATATGTGAAACATTTCAAAGACTCTTTGCCCTGTATCTCCACAGGATCTTTTTTTTTTTTTTTTTTTTTTTGCCTACAGCTACAGGGTACCACAAATCACGTTCCAAATTCAGCATGTTTCACTTAATAGGCTTGTTGTTTGCCCCTCTCCCTTGTGAAGAGGACATGGGAATTGTACAAAGGAGAGTTAAAAATCAAGATTTGTATTCTCAATATAGCAAAGTAGTTCTTCATCAAAGCAAGAAAATACCCAAACCATATGACTCTTTCACAGAATGAGTGTGATGTGCTGGCCCTGAAGCTGTAGTTAGTTGATGATCTGTGCCCTCAAGGATTATGACAGCGTGCTAATTGTTGCAGCCTCTCTTCCTGTGAAATCCTTTTTTCTTCATTCCAGCTGGAACTTCTTAGAAACAGGCTGTTTGTTTCCTTGGCTGGATTTAAATATTTGTGTCTGCATCAAATCAGATAAGTCAGAAAGTTAAATTCCAAACTTCCATTGAGCTGTCATTTTAATTTATCCTTAAGAGTTGAGATTGTGCTCTGCAACAGTAAATTA